CCCCTCTGATCGCTTCGAATATGCTCGCAAGGCCCGGCAAGGCTCCCCTGGAGGCCCGGAAGGGCCAGCAGACCTTTTCCAAACCCGGACGGCCTTTCTGACGTCTCGGCTGTCCCATGGACGCCCTTTGAAAAAGGTAAGTTTTTTCCGTCTTCGCAGCGTCCAAGACGGCCCGATGGGCCCCCGATATCGCCCCAAGACGGTCCACGAGGCCCCCCAGAGGTATTGAAGACGGCCCAAGAGGGCCCCAAGACTGCCCCAGAGAGCCCCGAGACTCCCCACAAGAAATCCAAGATGCCCACAGAAGGCTCCCAAGACAGATCCACGAAAGCCATGGGAGACCCCCAGGAAGGCCATTGGAGGCCCCCAAGAAGCCCTGGATGGCTTCAGAAGACCTCTGCAGGGTCCTAACTCCCCAAGACGGCCCAAGAAGGCACCGGGACGGCCCAAGAGGTCCCCAGGACGGCCCAGAGGAGCCCCCCAAACGCCCAGACGGCATTCTCCTACGAAGTACATCGAGTTGAGACGACGTTTCCTGGTTCCACGCTTGAGGCTCGAGGTTGAATATCCTCGATCGACAGAGGCAATATAAATATATGTATGTGCATACACATATACATATGTATGTATGTGCGTGTGTGTATATATATATATATGTATATTCGAAGTTCGACGATCGACCATGTCCTGAATGCATGGGGCGCTCCAGGCATTCAGGAAACGACCACACATCGATGTGTTCGGAGCTACTGCGACTTCTTCGGCGTGTCATGGGAACACTCCTTACTACCTCAGAGGACCTTCGCGCGTGAATGAATCATCATTTCTTCCCCACTCCTGCGCACAAGCGTGCAAGCGCATCGGGCGAACGCGGTGTCAGCAGGCATCAGAAAAATGAGCCGGTCGCCCGCCCAGGCCTCAAGGTCCCCCCTGCTGCAGCAAACGATGATTGATTGCTTTGCCGGGGAAGCGTCGGGAACAAGGCGCATGGCGCGAAGCGCCAATGCAACTTTGTGTATGTATGTATGTATATATATATATACATACATACATACATACATACATTCATACATACATACAGACAGACAGACAGACAGACAGACAGACAGACAGACATACATACATACATAAACACATATATATATATGTACGTGAATGCATTTTTTGTGTATGTATATATAATCATATAGGTAGTTCTCTAAACCACCTACCCCCATTGGCCTAGAAGGTTCTTCGACCGCCTCGACCTCCTCACGCTCGTGTCGGCCTGGCGCGCCAAGTGCGGGTGGCTGTACGCCCCTGGCAGTGGCTCTTGGTTTCTAGTGAAGCACCTTCGTGGAGTTCCGATCCGATCCGATCCTCCCACTCGTGCCTCCGCTGTTTCGGCCCTGGCGTTCGTCAGGCCCCCAGTTGCCGTCGCTCGCGAGACGCCCGCAGCCATGGCGCCCTGCTGCCCGCCGGAGGAGCCCGCCCGCTGCGCCAGCCCGCTCCACGCGGGCAGGCTGCTGGGCGCGAGGCCGCTTTTGCTTGGCCGCCACCGTCGTCGTTGTGGTCATCGACGTCGCCATCGCCGTTGCCGTCAATGTCGCTCGCTGTCGTCGTCGCCATCGCCGTCGACGTCGACGCCGCCGCTCGCCGCAGCCGTCGCCGCCGCCGTCCTCGATGTCGTCGTCGTCGTCGTCGTCGTCGTCGTCGTCGTCGTCGTCGTCGTCGTCACCGCCGCTGCCGTCGACGTCGCCGTCGCTGTTGTCGTTGCCGTCGTCGCCGCGGTCGATTTTTCTCGCTGTAGTCGGAAGGTATGCTGTTTCCTGCAGTTTTTTTGTTGGGGGGCTCTGGGGCGTTCCTGACTTGCTGCGCCTCGTCGAAGTCGTTGGGGGGGGGCGGTGTCGCCGCGATCGTCCGCTCGAGTCCCGAGTCGAGGCCATTCAGCCACATGGACGCGGAGCTGGATGATCCTGACGTCTGGGCCTCGAGAAGTGCCCCCGTCGCTTTGGCTTCGTCTCGAGATCCTTGTGCCGATGACCCTCAGAACGTGTGTCAGCCCAACGTGTGCGCTGCCCCGTTCCTGGTGCCGGCTCCGCCGTTAGCACGCAGCTGGGGTCGGCCCTTCCTACGTTGCGTCGTCTTGATAGGCTTCGGAGGACAAACGCATGCTGGGCGCCGGCACATGTTCTGAGGATCATCGAGTGAGGGTGGAGACCCCAGGGTTCGCTTCGGGGCAGGTCTGGGGATCGATTCCGGAGGGGGAGGATGAGGTGGGGGCGAGGCTGCTGGAGCTGGGCCGGCTGCGCGCGAGCAGCGTGGAAGAGCTCTTCATCATCGAGGCCCGCGGCCGTGGCGGCCCCCCGCTCCGAGGGCCAGGGTTCGGGGAATGCGAGCAGCACGCCCGCGTATACCGGTCTTGGCCCGTGAAAGCGTTGGCCTGCGGGCTCTGTGTGCACGGCCGTCACGGCCCGGCCAGGCAGGGCGCGCACACCGACCCCAGGCTCACGCTTGGCCTGGTTGGGATCTATGCAGGCAGATTGCTGGCATCCGGTAGAGTTTCCGGGAATGACCCAATACCATGTTTAGGCATTGTGATCGGCGTCTTGGCCAGCGTGGGCGCCAAACAGTGAGCTCTTGCGCCCTGGATTTGCAATGCACGTTGTGCAATCTATGTGGTTCACTTTCATCTGGCACCAGCAATGTGCTGCAACACATGCGGTGTGAACTGTGTGGTGCAGTCTGCGTGTTGCAAGCTGTGTGGTGCGAGCTGCGTGGTGCAATAGCTGCTGCGTGCTGTGTGGTGCACGCTGTGGTCTGCAACCTACACGGTGCAGGCCATGTGGCACAGGCCGGTGCCATCTGCATCGTGGAAGCCGCGCCCGCGATGCGGCCATGGTCGGCCACTGGGCGACCCCCCCGCACACCAGCCCGGCGCACGAGGAGCCCACGGGCGCCCACCAGGCGAAGCCCTGGCCTGCCCTGAAGTCGGGCATGTCCCTCCACAGGAGGAGTGTTCCAGAACAGTCAAAGCATAGTCTGGGGAGGATCTTGCCAGTATTTTTTGGCCACTTTTGATGATTTTTCGGGCGAAGAGAACTATGCACATGCACCGATCCTGGCAAGGTCCATCCTTGACCCAGGATCGGTGCATATGCCTTCCTGGCCAAGGTAGGAGGGCGTATGCACGGATCCTGGGCTCAGGATGGGCCTGGCCAGAATCGGTGTATGTGCATAGTTCTCTTTCCTTTATTTTTTTGCATATTTTTATCCTCCCTCCAAAATCCGCCTGTAGGAGCACATGCCCGACTTAAGCCTGCCCGCCTACACGAGGCGCCCTCGAAAGCCGCCCAACACGAGGCGCCCTCGGGCGCTCACCCGGCAGCGCCCCCGCACGCACATCAGCACGAGGCGCCCGCGAAGCGCCCTTCTCCTCCTCCTCCTCCTCCTCCTCCTCCTCCTCCTCCTCCTCCTCCTCCTCCTCCTCCTCCTCCCCCTCCCTTTTCCCCTCCTCCTCCTCCTCCTCCTCCTCCTCCTCCTCTCCTTCCTCCTCCTCCTCCTCCTCCTCCCTCCTCCTCCTCCCTCCTCCATGAGGCGCCCGCGAAGCGCCCGACGAGAGGCGCCCTCGGGCGCCCACCTGGTGAAACCTGACGCACGCGAGCAGCCCACGAAGCGCCCTCGGGCGCCCACCGGGCGAAGCCCCGATCCCCCCATAACTTCTTCGAACACATTTTTCTCCCTGAGTGCAAGGTACAAGCATTTTTGGTAGCAGTGCTTAGTATGTGCTTGCGGTGAACCCGATCGGGCAAGAACGGGAAGCGCCGATTTTGTCCACTTGGTTCGCAGGGGGAAAAGAAGAAAAGGTTAATGGCGACGACAAGGCGGCGGATGACGAGGAGAACAGTGTGGATGACTGTGAGGGCAGAGAGGGGAGCAGGAGGACAGCGACTGGGAAGATAAGCACGAGGACGAGGTGGAAGAGATGGAGGAGGACGAGTACGAGGAGGAACGTAGCGGATTAGGAGGAGGAGGAGGAGGAGGAGGACGAGGAGGAGGAGGAGAAGAGGAGGAGGGGAGGAGGAGGAGGAGGAGCAGGAGGAAGAGGAGGATGAGGGGGAGGAAGGAGAAGGAGGAGGAAGAAGAGGAAAGGAGAAGTAGGAGGAGGAGGAGAAAGGCGGGAGGAGGAGAGAGGAGGAGGGGAGAAGGAGGAGGAGGAGGAGGAGGAGGAGGAGGAGGAGGAGGAGGAGGAGGAGGAGGAGGAGGACGGTAAGGAACCCGAGGAAGAGGAGGTCGACGAAGGGGTGCGCCCTCGTGATTTTTGAGGCCACCCTGGGGGGCTGCCCGGGGCCCTCGGGGCCGGAGGCCGACCCACGGTGCGACCGAGGCTTCCCCGGCCACGAGGCGCGCGGCCAGCTCCAGGCGCGCGGTGTGGTCCAGCACGGGCGCCGCCCGGGGGGCGCCGCCGTCTGAGCCCTCGCCAGTGGGCGCGGCCCCTGAGGAGGCAGAGGAGCAGGAGGACTTAACTACACGCGCGCACCCACATCTCCAGCGATGTGTTTTCGTTTGTTTGCTTGTTTGTTTGTTTGTTTGTTTGTTTGTCTGTTTGTTTATAGGGTGTATATATACATGTATACATATATATATATATATATACACTATATATGCATACACATACAATTCTTTACGCTTCGCGTATCCCCACCAGCCCATCTCACAGCAGCAACTCTTGCGAAGCATGCCGACAGTCGTGTGTTTTTCAGGCGTGCGTCCGCTTGGCCCCGCATGTCTCCCCTGTTCCTCCCTCCTCCCGCCTCCTTGTACATCCTCCTTGTGGGGGGAGCGGGAGAAGGACGAGGCGGAGGAGGAGGGAGAGAAAGCGCTCCTCGTGATTTGAGTCGTTTGGGGTTTCTCGTCCTGGTGTGAGTCGTTCGGGCTTCTCGTGGTGTGAGTTCGTTCGGGCCCCTCATCCTGGTGTGAGTCGTTCGGGCCCCTCCTCCTGGTGTGACTCGTTCGGGCTCCTCGTGGTGTGAGTCGTTCGGGGCCCGCGTCGTGGTGTGAGTCGTTCGGGCTCCTCGTGGTGTGAGTCGTTCGGGCGCCTCGTCCTGGTGTGAGTCGTTCGGGCCCCTCCTTGTGGTGTGAGTCGTTCGGGCTCTTCGTGGTGTGAGTCGTTCGGGCCCCTCGTCCTGGTGTGAGTCGTTCGGGCTCCTCGTGGGGCCTCTTGGGGGCCTCTTGGAGCCTCTTGGGGCCTCTTGGGGGCCTCTTGGGGGCCTCTTGGGGGCCTCTTGGGGGCCTCTTGGGGCCTCTTGGGGGCCTCTTGGGGGCCTCTTGGGGGCCTCTTGGGGGCCTCTTGGGGCCTCTTGGGGGCCTCTTGGGGGCCTCTCGGAGGCCTCTCGGGAGCCTCCTGGGGGCCTCTTGGGGCCATCTTGGGGCCTCTTGCGACCTCCTCAGAAGCGCAAATGAGCGCTGCCCCCTGAGAAGGACGAAATGAGCCCAAAACCTTCGTAAAGTCAATGATTTTGCTATGAAGGAAGAGGAGCGCTGCCCCCTCAGAAGGCCAAAATGGGGCCGAAACCGTAGTCAAATCAATGATTTTCGCTTCAAAGAAGAGGAGAGGGTTTTTTCTCCCCCCCCCGTCGGGGGCAGAATCCTCGTGAGGGGTGTCGTTTTTTAGCCCTCCCAGGAGTCGAAATTGACCCCCCTGGCGACCCGCGGCCCGCCCTCTCCAGGCCCAGGGGGAGGGGGTAGGGGGAGGGTAAACCCCTCCCCGAAGGGGAAGAATGGGGGGTGAGGACAGAGAGAGCTCGCTAAACCACTCACGCCCAAAGGGCTGGTGGGACTACACGCGCGCACCCATATCTCCAGCGATGTGTTTTCGTTTGTTTGTTTGTTTGTTTGTTTGTTTGCTTGTTTGTTTATAGGATGTATATATACATATATACACATCTACATATATACATATATATATATATATACTATATATGCATACACATACAATTCGCGCTTTCCTCGATCTCGGCCTCGGGGCCGTTATCGGGACCCAGGGCCATCACAAATAATGATCCAGGGGCAAGAGCTACCCCGGGGCAAGCGGTCGGGAACTCTTGGGCCGCGGATTGAACAAATCAGATTGGCGGATGTCAGGGCACTGGTCCTGGCCAGGGTGCTCGTGCGCCCTCCTGGCCAAGCTTGAAGGGCGCAGATATCGATCCGGGACCCAGGACTCTTTTTGGCCAAAGTTGCTCGGGGCACACAGTTGGCGGTTCCCGAGAGGAGGAAGTGGATCCGATCGTGGAGGCGGACCTGGCGCTCGAGGATTTCGACGTCGAGCAGGAGGTGTCCTTGCGCGACCTTTGGGCGGTATTGCCAGACCCGTGGGCTCCAGGTTCTGCGAATGGCAGAAAGCTGATGACCGCCCGCGCGAAGCAGTGCGTCATCTGCATGGAGGACAAGGAGCACACCCTGGTCCCGCCGCACAAGGGTTGCGGCGAGGGGATGAACTTGGAGGGCCACCGCGTGTGCACGGACTGCTGGGAGGAGCTTCTTCAGCATGAGTTGGACCGGCACTGGGACTGGCTGCACAGTCGCCAGGGACCACCGCCAGCCCTCACCTGCCCTGTCTGTCGTGCGGGAGTCATGGCGCCAGACGCATGGGACGTCGAGCTGGATCTGCCAGAAGAGTGGGTCCAGCGCTCCGCGCCGCATCCATCTGGCTGCTTCTCACTGGACGACGCCTGCGTGACGCAGCCCGAGCCGTGCACACGAGCGGATGAGTTTGGAGGGTCACCGCATGTGCATGGACTTCACGGAACGTCTGCAGCATGAGTTGGACTATGATTGTTGGCTGCGCGGTCGCCTCGGACCACCTGTGGCCCTGCTCTGCCCAGTCTGCCGTGCGGAGGTCATGGTGCTAGACGCGTAGGACGTCGAGCTGGGTCTGCCAGAAGAGTGGGTCCATCGTTCCGCGCCGCACGCAGCTGGCTGCCCCCCCCCCACTGGGCGACGCCCCGGCGGCGTAACGCCGAGCCGTCGCAGAACTGGGCCTGCGCAGTTTGCAGGCTTAGCCGTCCTGGAGGGCGTCAGGCGCCGCGCCGCCGACTCCGCACCCGCCGCCGTGGGCTCTGGCGCCGTGGGGCCGGCCAGGAGTCGGTTGCCTGAATGGTGGTGGCTCTGCTGCAGCGCCTACGTGAGTTGGCGGTGGATCCGAATCACGATCGTATGGCAGGCCAAGAGGGGGCCGTCCAGGATGCGCTTCTGCTGGTCGGATACGCACCAGTCTGAGGCCCGACCTACCGTTGTTCCCTGGGCCCCTACTAGATCGTCGGCCAAATTTGCGAATTCGAGGCATGATTCTAGAAGCGCGTACCATAATGTAGATGCGCGCATTTTTAGACAACCTGCATTTGTATTCATGTTTTGCATACGTTGTCTTCACACTGACGATTCTTGAACCTGGGACGTCAGAATTATAGAAGCTAACAGAAGCAGAGTCGGTGTTGCCAGGAGAGCAACCGTACGGTTTTGCGCTCGGCGTGCGGTCGAAACTATTATCTAAGAGTCACAGTGGCTCTTTCAGGAGTGCCGAAGATATGTTGTTCCGCTCTCTCCTCGACATCTCTCTGTTTCATCTTAATCCTTGGGAAAGGGTCCTGTGTTGAATATGTCGAGTTGTCCAGCGGCCTTCGGGCATTTTTTGGATTCGCCTGGTCTGTCTTCTCTGTCTGGTCTTTTCCAGTCATGGTCTGTCTGCTCTGCCTGGTCTGCTGGTCCTGTCTTGTTTGGTCATCATCCATCTGGTCTGTATGTTTCCTCTTCTTCCTCGTCCTCTTCCCCTGCTGCTCCTGCTCAACACCTCTTCCTTCCTCCTCCGCTCTCCGCCTTCTCCCCCTCAGTTCTTTTCCTCCTCGTCCTTGTCCTCCTCCTCATCCGCTTGCTCTTGTTAGTCGTTCTCGTTTCTTTTGTCGCCCTTCTTCTACCCCCTTCTGCCCAAGTGCCACCAGAGGGTTGGTGTGCGCTGTTTTGTTGGGACTCTTGGGAACCTCTTTCAGCCATTTTGGGTCCCCTCGGGCGCCTTGGGCCACCCGGGAGCCCCTCTTGTGCTGTTTCGAGTCTGTCTGATGTCCTTCTGTGCTATCTTGGGGGCTTGCAGTCTTCTCGTGTGGCCGTTTTGGGGCCCTCTTGGCCTGTTGTGGCTCAGGCCCTCAGGCCGTCTTTAGGCCCTCTTGAGTGCCGTGCTGGAGCTATCTTCGGCTGTCTTGTGGCGCTCCCCAAGCTCCTCGCGTCGTGAGGCAGTCACGACGGAGGGCCTTTGACAACTTTCGGCCGTCTTGCGAAAAATCCACGCCAGGAACCAATCACTGAGCAGCTCCAGGTTTCTTCACGTCTTCCTCTCTCATGAAGCTGCTGCAGGTCTCCTCAGGCCGTTTTGGAGCTCGTGTGGGGTCCCCTGGGGCCGTCCTGGGGTGCTCTTGGGGATCTCTTGGGCCAAGCCTGAGGTCCTCGAGGCCCTCCTGGGCCGCCATATAAGTACGGCGCTCGTGGTTGCCCGGGGCCGTCGAGCATGCACCCGGGCGGCCGAAGACCCAGAGCACACCATGCCACAGGAAAGAGAGCAGCTGAGATAGTCATGCCGTACGGTGCCTACGCAGGACCACTGGGAGACCATACGGGAGAAAGCACGGGATATCGCACTCTCTACGTCGGCGGCTAGGCAGAGGGTGACTGCGCTGCGCTGGCGATGCATGGCATGAACGGGGTGTACCGTTGGGCCGAATGGTGCCACCCTGCAGGGGGAGGAGGGAGGAGGGACGCGTACAGGATATCACGCAGGAGATCACGTGGGGGGCCACAAGGGAGACCGTCCGGGAGATCCTGCGGGAGGCCGTGCGGGAAACCGTTGGGGGAGATCGTGCGGGAGACCGCACGGGTGACCGTGCGGGAGGCCGTGCGGGAGCCCGCACGGGAGACGACCAGAGGGGAGACCGTACGGGAGACCATACGGCGAGTCCGCCGCCGTCGGCGCCCTTCTTGGCCCGGGTGCGGGGGTCCTGGCGCTGCTCAGCGGGCGCGAGCGGGAGCCTACCAGACACCAGGCGGCGGTGTGCACTGGGCATCCCGAGGCCACTGGACGTCTCCAGGGTTCCCCCGGAGGCGCACGTGGGGGGGGCGGCCTCCAAAGACCCTTGGCTCACCCCAACAACGCCCTGGGCATTTTTTTGTTTTTTGTTTTTTTGTTTTGTTTTTTGTTTTAAATCATCGTTTTTGTATTTTGGTCTCTCGGCTGGCTGCAAACGCGAAAGCAGCGCTGCGTCGTTCCGCGTTTTTGAGGTCGTGAGTTTCAGACGAACGCTTCTTATTGAATCGCTTCGCTCATTCCGCCGGCCCTGGAGCGCTATTTGGGGCCTCTTGGGGCCGTCTTGGGGGCCTCTTGGGGGCTTCTTGGGGAGCGTCTTGGGGCTCCTTGACGGCGTCTTGGGCTCCCTTGGGGCCTTTTAGGGGGCTCTTGGGGCTTGGGGCGGGAGGGAGGGTAGTCGATTGCAGTCACCCCCTCGGAGGCCACGATCCTCGTGAGTGGTGGCGAAAAATAGCCTCCCCCCTGGGGATCGCCCAGGACCCGGCCTGGGGTCAGCCGGTTTTTTTTCGTCCGGGGGCCCCCAGGGGCCGCCCCGCGCGCGCGAACTAGAAATATTGTTAAATAGTTACCGGAGGTCTTAGCACGTCTCTGGCCCGTTGGGCCGGCGAATTCTTGTCCAAGGCTTCCTCTTGTCTTCCCTGCCGTCTCCTGCTTCCTCGCGTTCGTCCCGCTCCTCGCGCAGAGCTGAAAGCGTAACATTAAACGCCCTATCACCGGTCTAAAACTGGCGCGAGAGGCCCGGAAGCCTCCGCGACCAGCCAGCAACAACGGCTGGAGGAGCAGAAGGAAAGCAAAACAAATATTATAAGAAGGACTGGACGCAAGGCGAAGGAACTGAGGAGGTCATAGACGACAGTGTTAAACAGCGCAATCATCTGATTAAACAAATGCGTCAAACAACAAGCAACAAAACGCATTGACAACACCAACAACAGCGAGCAACACAACGAGCAACAACATGCAACAACGAGCTAACAAGCTACACAACGTTTGTTTGTTTTTCAGCTCTGTTTTCAGTTTTTGTTTGGATCTGACAGCGCTAAACAAATTTATGTTCAAAATGCTGGTCAAAATTGGCACAAAACAGTCCAGGGCATATTCAGGACGAACGAAGCCAGTTTGTGTGTGTGTGGGGTCAATCATTAAAGACTTTCGACTATCCTGCTCCTCCTCCACCTCCCTCCTCCTCCTTCTCCTCCCCCTCTCCCTCTTACTGCTGCGCCCGCTCTGGGGAAGTCTCCGCAGCGTCCGCCAAGCTCGCCAGCGCCCGCCGCTGGGAGAGGTCGAGAAGACCTCCCTCGCCATCCCCACCTGCCGTTGCTGACACTCCTGCTGCTCCTCCTTCTCCTCTTCCCCCTCCTCGTTCCCAGTCCCCGTCCTCGTCCCCGTCCTCGTCCCCGTCTCCGTCCCCCTCATCATCATCATCATCATCATCATCATCATCATCATCATCATCATCATCATCATCATCATCATCATCATCATCATCATCATCATCATCATCATCATCATCATCATCATCATCCCCATCAGCATCACCACCACCATCACCATCATCATCATCAACATCATCATCACCACCATCGTCATCATGATCACCATCATCATCAGCATCATCATCAGTATTTTCATCATCATCATCATCACGATTGTCATCATCATCGTCATCATCATCACCATCATCACTATCATCATCACCACCATCATCATCTTCTGCTTCATCGCCACCACCATCATCACCATCATCATCATGATCACCATCATCATCACTATCATCCTCGTCATCATCAGTACCATGATGATGATCATCATTATCGTCGTCATCATCACCATCTCAACCACCACCATCACCATCATCATCACCATCAGCATCATTATGATCACCACCATCATCATCATCATCCTCATTATCCTCATCGTCCTCATCATCATCATCATCATCGCCACATTCATTGTAATTGTCATCGTCATCGTCATCATGATCATTACCACCATCAGGATCATTTGCATCATCATCATACTCATAATCATAGTCATCACCATCATCACCATCATCATCATCAGCATCATCATATCATCATCATCATCATCATCATCATCATCATCATCAACAGCAACATCATCATCATCATCATCATCATCATCACCATCATCGTTACTCTCATCATCATCATCAGCATCATCATCATCATCATCATCATCATCACCATCATTTCCATCCTCATACCCGTCATGATCCTCAGCCGTATCCTCATCATTCTCCTTATCCCTCCCAGCCAAGGGGACCTTACCGCATCTTTCGATGACGGCTTCGCATGGAGCTTCTAGTGGGGATTCTCGCTTCAAGCGTCCGCGGCCGGCGGCTTCGGCGGAATAGATCACGCAGTAGGAGAGCCAGCTGAGTTCGAAGAATTTGAGAATGAGCACACTGTTCACGGCCAAAGCTAATGACCTCCTGGAGAAGTAGTGGGAGTGAGTCGATGAAGAGTTCGTGAAGGTCGATAAACGGTTCGTTGAGGCGGAGGGACGTCTGACGTCCCTCCAGAGCAAGCAGGTGTCGGGCTCTTCTAGCGGGAGCACGATGACCAGCGGAGTCACGTGGGTTGCCAGCCATCCCGACATCCAGGTATGCGAATATGGAGATCGAGCTGCTCAGGGCATCGATGTCGGGACGGCGAAGCAGTGATATCAAGCTATATCACCGTACCTGCAGGACACGATCCGCCAGGCTTGCGGACCCGTGAGCGCCAGGGTCCCCGAGAAGATCTCCATGCTCCAGCTCGCCGTGGTGCCGGCCCACACGGCTCAGGCCAGGCGCGACATCACGAGGGTGAGATGACGGAACCTACTCTCCAGATCTCGGGGCGCTTCCCGACGATCAGCGTGGAAACTTGTCCGCCCGCATCGCCACGTTCCACGTTATGGGTGCCCTCTCGCACGCCGTGAAGGCGCTGGACTGGCTGAAGACCATGACCGTGAACGTCAAGAAGGCAGTGGGCCGGGAGTTCATGGTCGGCGGCGTCTTTAGTTCGGGTAGTGTCCTCTGGGACGACGAGGGCATCAGCGAGCTCGGCTGGACCAAAGCCCAGCTGGAGCTCAACATGAAGAAGTGATGGTTCCGCAGAGAGAGAATTCATGGCATCAAGAGTATGTTGTTCGCCTCATCGAATCAATCTTAAGATGAAAGCATTCGAGCGCCAAAAGACCTTGAGACAAGAAATTGGGGTCAGCTGCACCGGCACTGTGTTCTATTGTTGCAGGAGGCTTCCAACTGGGCCAGTGGCCATTGTGCTTCCCACGCTTATCGTGCCACTAGTTGCCCCGATTTTGCGGTTCGCTTCCCTCGTCTTGGGGGCCTGGTTTTGTGAGGATCTTCACCACGAGCGTTTCACCATGCTGCAATTCAGTTATGCGGCTGTCGTTTCAATTCTTGACGCTCCGCGCTTCCCCACCAGCCCTGTCATAGACAG